ACACCAGGGAAGCTATTCTCAAAGATGTGAGGAGAATAAGGGGCAAAAATCTGTTTCACTTGACAAAACTTGATCCCTTCGATAATCCTATTTATCTCTTCAAAATATCCATCATGACTAACAATGAAGTAAAGTCTCACTGATCCCCTCTACTCTTGAGAGGCTATCAACAACCACTTTGAGATATTGGGGCCGGTTATGAACATACAAAACTATCACTATATTATCCTTAGCTAGCTTAGGATATAAATTCAAGTTCCTAGGAGGTAACTCATTTTGCTTCTGAAGTCGAATTGACAATTCATTCTGCTTAGGAAGATTCACATTTTCTGTTCTCTGACTATAATTAAAAGTCACTTGCAAACTCTCAGCACTTTCATATGCATCCCTGATTACAGAATCAGAAACAGGGCTGTACCTATGAAGAAATATTATCAAAATGGCTCCGAACAACGTGATCACAGCTACAGACAAGAAACGGCGAAAAGCCGCGTCCTTGATTCTTAATTTCCCATGAGCGGCCATTCTTTCAATCAAACAGAATTGACTATCAAGATCCCTTCACCATACTTACAGACAAAGTACCAATCTTTTCCTAGTAAACGTAAACAACAGCATCTTATCACTAGCAATAAAGGTTCAAACTTGATGAATTTCCAGAACTAAAGATCAAAAGTGGCAACCCAGTAAAAATGAGATCAAAATACTAAAAGGGTCAGCATCAATAACCTCCAAAATGGTCTTCAACGGGAAAACTGAAGCATCAAAAACTTCCAAAAATCAGCACTTTCTGCGGCTGAATATCAAAGAATTAGCTAGCAGCATCCAAAATCGAAAACCCACCAGGAAAATCCACTAAAGCATACCATTCTTGATTAATTGGCAGTGTAAAGATTGAGATCAAAGATCAGTGAAATCCAACAAAAATGACAAGTAGAAACTTAGGATTCTCAGAAGGGTTAGAAGGGAAAAAAATATAATCAGAACTTTGAAAAGTGGAATCGTTGACGACTTGTTAAGACTTGAGACTGCTAAATAAAAAATAGTGCGGGAAAGTCCAAAGACTCGGGAGTTCGGAGAAAATGGAGGAGCCAAAGAGGGAGATTGAGAAGAGGGACGACTTACATTTTCTCCATCGAAAAAGGAAAGGGCAAAAAATGAAAAACGAAAGTAAACATGAGAAGACTTCGGTTTGATAAAATGTCCACTTTGTACAGGACTACCTTCTAAGAAATTCGGGAGTTATTTTTATTCATTTTTTACTTAAAGCCAGGATGAGAAAACTGTTAAAATATTTACTGTTATTAGTTAATCATGTTTGTTTGTTTTGTTCTACTAATTAATGGGCAGTAGAGTTAGTGGGATAGTTAGTATAATTGTTTTGAACTCCATAAATAGAGCAATTTCATGTTATGAATTAAATATTAGTTTTACAAAGAAATAAAGTTTAGTTCTTTGCTTCTCTTATTATTTTTCAGTCATTGTAACAGTAACATCAAAGCTAGTTTCTTGAGTAAAAACAAAAGTGAGTTGTAAAAATTTTGTTGGTAAGTCATGATTGCTACCAACAACTTTGTGCAACAGCAATTCCTCGCTTTGAAGGTCACTATGATCATTAGAACATACTAATGGAGAACTTCTTAAAATCCAAAGAGCATTGACAAGTTGTCGGATTTGGAATAACAGAACAAAAAATGGGAGTAGTATTGTCAAAGGTGTAGAAAATAGAGTTGGAACTTGGAAGCATTGAAACTGAAGGATCTTAAATTCAAGAATTACCTTTTAAACTATTGATCGAGCCATCTTGAAAATAATTTTTAGTAAAGATATCTTCAAATAGATTTGAGATTCCATAAAAAAGAAATATCAAGAAAATGCGAAAGCAAAACTAGTGCAGATTCAAACTCTTCAGACCAAATTTGAGATTTTACGCAAGAAGTCAAGTGAGTCGATCACAAATTATTTCGCAAAAATGATGGCAATCGCGAACAAGATGAGGATCCATGGAGAGAATTTGGAGGACGTCACCATTATTGAGAAGATCCTTCGATCGATGACAATAAAATTTAATTTTGTTGTATAATCTATAGAGGAATTGAAAGACATTGATGCACTTTCAATTGATGAGTTGTAGAGCTTTCCGTTGGTCTATGAGCAAAAAATTAACCAGCAAGAAAAAGAGGAACAAGCATTGAAGAGTTCAACAAAAAGTCACCCAACATGGAGAGGAGGCAGAGGCAGAAACAATGATCGTAGTAACCAATAACAACAATACCATCACTAAGAAAATCAATTTCAAAAAGAGAAGAGAGGACAAGGAGGCCATCCATCAATAATTCAAAACCAAAGTCAGTAGATAAGTCTAATGTTGAATGCTACAAATATCATAGGTATGACCATTATTAGTCAGAATGTCAAACTAATTTACATAGACAAAATGGAGAAAGAACTAATTTTGCAAAAAAAAAAAAAAAAAAAAAAAGAAGTATCTTTTGATAATGTGTCACATGAGTGAAGAAACTTAACAAGACATGTAGTATTTAGACAACGATTGTAGTAACCATATATGTAGAGATAAGAATGCATTTTCTAAATTGGACAAATTATTCCGTAATACTGTCAAATTTGGTGATAACTCTACAATTTTTATAATGAAAAAAGGAAAGGTAACTATTCAAACTAAAAAAAATTCTAGTCACACTATCACTGATGTTCTTTTGTTTCAAACTTAAAGACAAACTTACTTTGTGTGAGCCAATTGCTAGAAGAGGGATACGAGAATTCTATCAAACATGGAATATGTCAGGTTCAAAATGCAAAATTGAGTTTAATTGCTCAAATTAGATGATGATGGCAAATCGTATGTTCTTATTCTATTTGCAGAACTCAACTCATTCATATTTCTCAGCAAAATCGAAAGATGTGGCATTGTTATGGCATTTTTGTTATGGACACCTAAATTTTAGTAGATTAAAGACTTTGCAACAGAAAAATATGGTGGCTCGTCTACCTCAAATTACAATTCTTTCAGAAGTTTGTGAAAAGTGTGTCGTTAGCAAATAATATCGGGATAGCTTTTCAAAAGGAAAATCGTGGACAGTTAAGAACGTATTAGAGTTGGTTCACTCTAATTTATACAGACCCATAAATCCGTCATCTAATGGTGAAAAACGTTATTTTATGACGTTTATTGATAATTATAGTGTTTTTATGATATTTATTGATGACCATAGTAAAAAAATATGGGTCTAGTTTTTCCAGAAAAAATCTGAACCATTTTCAATTTTTAAAAATTTATGACTCTTGTCAAAAAAGAAGCAAGCAAATTCATAAAGATTCTTTGCAATGATCGTAGTGGAGAATTTAACTCACAAGAATTTGTAAATTGATGTACGGAGTATGAAATTCAGAAGTAATTTACAGCAGCTTATACGACATAGTAGAATTGTGTTTCAGAAAGGAAGAATCATATAATCTTGAACATGGTAAAAACCATTTTGAAAAGAAGTGTTGTTCTAAAATTATTTTGACCTGAAACTATTAATTGGAGCATTCATATACTGAATAGAAGTTTCACACTTGCTATGAAAAATGTGATGCCTGAAGAAGTATGCAATGCATAGAAACCAATAGTGGATTAATCAGAATTTTTGTATGCATTACCTATACTCATATTCCAGAACAAAAGAGGATAAAACTAAATAATAAGGAAAAGAAATGCATTTTTCTTAGTGTTAGTGATCAATCAAAGGTTTATAAGTTTTATAATTCTATTACAAAGAAAATTGTCATCAATCGGGATGTAATTTTTTTTATATATATAAAAGAATTTTACCATGGAATAGCAATGTTATTAAACAACAAATACCTACTGATTTTGATGGAATTGATGAAGAGAACAGACAACAATTGACAGAATAAATTCCATTAGATGTTCAGATAATATTCCAAGTTCCCAGACAGTAGCAGAGGATAAAGGACGGCTTCAACATATTAGAAAAAGACCTGCATGAATGATCGATTATGAAGTAACTGGAATTGACCAATTTGAGAACTCACTTACATACTTTGCTATATTTTTTTATTCTGATCCTACAGGTTTTGAAGTGGCTATCAAAGATTCAAAGTAACAAAAGGCAATGGATGAAGAAATTGCAACTATTGAATGAAACAACACATGAGAGTTAACTGATCTTTCAGAAGGATAAAAGTCAATTGGTGTCAAGTGGGTGTATAAAACGAAATTAAAGAAGAATAAAGAAATTGACAAATACAAATCATGTTTTGTAGCTAAAGGCTATAAGCAAGAATTTGGAATGGATTATGGAGAAGTTTTTGCTCTAGTAACAAGGCATGACACGATCAGAATAGTGATAGTACTGGAAGCAAAACATCCATGGCCTATCTTTCAATTGAACGTGAAATCAGTATTTTTATTTGGTGATCTACAGAAACAGGTATTTATTAATCAACCTCCTGATTAGATGATGGTTTGAAGTGAACATAAGGTTTATACAAACTCAAAAAGGCATTGTATGAATTAAAACAAGCCCCACATGCTTGGTATATTCGTATAAATGTTTTTTTTTAAGGAGAGATTTAAAAAGTATCCATATAATTATACACTTTATATAAAGATTGAAGATGGAGGTAAATTACTCATTATTTGATTATATGTTGACGATTTTATTTTAACTGAAAATGATAGTGCCATATTTGAGAAATTTAAAAAATTTATGATGGGTGAATTTGATATGTCTGACCTTGAAAAGATGCATTATTTTTTTAACATTGAAGTGTTGCAATCTGTTGCTGAAATTTTTGTCTCTCAAAGAAAATATGTATAAGAAATTTTGAACAGGTTTCAAATGAATAATTATAATTTTGTTAATATGCCAGTTAAAATGGATTTAAAACTCATCAAAGAATCTAAAGAAAAGAGGGTTGATAGCACCCTTTAAAATCAAATTGTAGGAAGTCTCATGTATTTGACAGCCACAATGCCGGATATTATGCATGCAGTAAGTCTTATTAGTAAATACATGAAAAATCCAAGGGAGATATATCTTCTAACTACCAAAAGGATTCTTCGATACTTGCAGGGAACCATTGAATATGGATTGTTCTACAAGAATGATGAAAAATCAAATTTATTTGGTTTTATTGATAATGACTATGCAGACAATCTTGATGATAGAAAAAGTATGTTTGGCATATATTTATGATGAGTTCAGTTACGATTTCATGGTGTTAAAAAAACAACTAATTATTTCTTTATCAACAATTGAAACAGAGTACGTAATTGTAATGGTTTGTACCTATCAAGCAATTTGGTTAAAGAATATCCTTCAAGAATTGCATTTTCAGCAAGAATGATCTACTATAATTTATTGTAACAATAGTTCTGTCATCAAACTCTCTAAAAATTCAGTTTTATATAGAAAAACTATGCACCTAGTCATGAAGTTTCACTTTCTAACGGAGCTCACAAGAGGTAGAATAATTGATTTTCTTTACTGCAAAAGTGAATATCAGATTGCTGACATAATGACTAAGCCATTGAAGTTATCCACGTTTCAAAAATTAAGGAAAGCTACTTGGAATCTATGCAATTGATAAGTCCTATTAAACTGACTGTTTGAAGAACTTTCAGTTTAAGAGAGAGATTGTTAGAAATATTTACTATTGTTAGTTAATCATGTTTGTTTGTTTTGTTCTACCTAATTGGTAGAGTTAGTGGAATAACTAGTAAAATTAGTGGAATAGCTAGTGGAGTTAGTGAAGTTAGTGGGATAGATAGTGGGGTTGTTTTGAACTCTATAAATAGAGCAATTTCATGTTGTGAGTTAAATATCAGCTTTACAAAGAAATAAACTCTAGTCCTTTACTTCTCTTATTATTTTTCTCAGTCATTGTAACAAAAACTAGAGAGGTAATCCAAAATCGAACTAATAGATTGGGAACAAAGATCATTAATCACTCCAATTACATTTAAATCCTTATATTGTTCCCTAATCATGGGTTATGCGGGTTAAGTTTGAGCATCAGTTTGCTTCAATTAATGAATTACTCAAAGTGGACATCCTTAATTATTGGTTCATAGGACATCCTCAACTATTGTTCTATGTTAGGCTATCAAGCTTGGATATTTAAACTGGAGGGGAAAAAAAAAGTTACAGAGGTCTACTAGCTGGTGTTGATTAACTATCATCGGACCAATTGTCAATTGTGGAATCTTCAATGAATTTTTAGGGAGATTTGGCTTTTAAGTTTAGAAAAAAAAAAAGAATTGAAAAAAATTGTTTAATGTATAAACCCTATCATATATAGAGTGCTGGCGAATCAAGCTACTTGCGAGCTGTTCGGTCAAACGCTCCGCTCAGGCTCAGTTTGACCAAGTTCGAGTAATTCAATACAAAAATTAAATCGAGTTCGAGCTTGTCTCGGTGCTATTTGATGAGTGCTTGTCGAGTAGCTCGATTAATTTTATTATTTATATAATATATTTATTTTGATTATGAAATGACCAATACAGGTTTATGTTTTAAATAATTTACATGAAGTTTTGTATTTCGAGTTTTCAAGTATTCGAGTTTAATAAGGGTTGAAAACAGTATTAAACTTATCAAATCGAGTTCGAGCTTTAATTGCTCTTTGCTCAAGTCGAGTTGAGCTACATAAGTTTTTGCTCATTCAAATCGAGTTCGAGTTTGAATAGACTTGCTTATCATCAAATTCGAAATTGAATATAGCATTACCTGAGCTTGACTCGACTCATTATCACCCCTAGTCATACATACTCATACTGTACAAAAATGGAAAAACTTATTTACAATTGTATAATGTTTGATGGTAAGTAGTTAAGCTTGGTATCCTTAGTTATGATTAGAGGCATCCCATTCCTCATCATTAGACATGTTAGTGATTAGGGTTTGGTTTAGATTACTTATTTAGATTTACACTCACTAAATTTATTCATATTCAAACTCTGATCCAAATCCTCACAATAGATAGAAAAAAGAACTAGATCGAAACTATCGTGAGCATGAATACTCAATGCCTATCCATACTACAATTTGATTAGTATGTTCAAATAATAAAATTAATATTCGACAATGTGCATTAAAAAAGTATGACTAATAATATGAAATCATGTCAACCAATTATATTTTCTTGGATTATATGTTTCTTGACTTTATCTAGACTCACGAATCAATTTTGATAGAATCTAATTTGAACTTTAGAAGTAGGATGGTGATTTCACAGATGAATTCAAGGAACTGCTCCTCTCTCTTTATTTGAGAAAAATGTAGTTCTGGTACCAAATTTTGACACATGAGTAGTTTTAATCCCCCAACTTTGGATAAAATAAATCTGATTCTCAAACTTTCAATATTTGAGCACATTTAGTACCCTTGACAATTTTTTTTCCAAAATACTATTGAAAAGGGTCACATGATAGTAGCATATCCAACAACTATTGCATAAAAAAATGCCAAAGAAAAGTAAAATATTTTTCTGACACTAAGTACCAAGAAAGATATTTTAAAAACTTTAATCATTTACCCAACTCTAGTCATTTTATTCCTTTTCTCCTTCTTTTGCTGTATTTCATCTTCACCTTAGTGTCAGAAAAATATTTGACGTTGTTGTGGCATTTTTTATACAATATTTGCCGAACATATGACTATCACGTGAAAATAATTTGGAAAAAAACCACTAAGGTTACTAATTGTGCTCAAATATTGAAAGTTTGGATACCAAATTTATTTTTGTCCAAAATTTGGGGATTAAAACTGCTCGTGTCAAAATTTGAGTATCAAAACTATATTTTTCTCCAGGGCTGGCGAACCAATTGTCTTCACCAATGCCAAGGCTGTTGGTTCCATGCAAGGGAACTACAAGGCATACTCGCATCTCGAAAACACCAGGGAACTACAAGGCATACTCGCATCTCGAAAACACCCACAAAGCACAAGACAGCGGTACCATTGTCACCTCTTTACCAAGAACAGGCACAATTTGGCTGAAACCATCAGCATATGCAATCGTAAACCATAAAAATCTCGTGGGCATCGATTGCCAGAATCTCATCTCATCAGATCCTCATGCACTTGTACCTATCTTTGAGTACAAGGTAAACGGAACCAGCCAGCTTCCTGACTTCTCTGGTCTTCCATCTCCTCGACCTTTTACCACTCATGTTCCATATTCACTGTTGCCAGAATCCATCAAGAGCAGCAAGTGTCGAGTTCTCTATATTTGCCATAACCCAGGAGTTAATTTTGTCTCCTTGTGGCGAATGCAAGTAAAACTAGGCCTAAATTGCTTGAAGACGCATTTGACATGTATTGCAAAGGAGTCAGGGCATGTGCCGGGTCCATACTGGAAGCATGTGTTGGGATACCGGAAACAAAGCTTAGAGAATCCAGAAAAGGTAATGTTTATGAAGACATGAAAGAAAACATTATACCCCAATTGAAAAGACTAGCAGACTTCTAGGCTTTGCCATTTAGCTGGGAAGAGGAGAAAGCAGGTGTAATAGAAGAAATATCAAAGATCTGCAGTTCGATAACTTGGAGGAGTTTAAAGTGAGTGTAACGGACAATAAAAGCATAGAAAGGGTCGCTTATCTCAGAAATGGAAAGGTCGGTGATTGGATGGAAATCATCTCACACCATCCATGGTGAAGCAACTATCTAGAATAACTGAAGAGAAGCTAAGTGAACAGGTCTGCCATTTAAGTTTAACCTCCAGGACAAGAGTGTAAAGGGTGACAACCTGAGTCCAAATTAACCCAGTAATTGATTGAATTGATCCTGAAAGATGATAATCTTTGCAAAGAAAAAAAAATCGTTTGAAAAGGATCAGCTAATCTGCTCTAATAGCATGTTGATTCACTATTATTTCGATGCCTAAGTGTAAAAACTCTGTCTGCTAAAGACACATATTGTCTCACTGATAGCTTTTGCAAATATTTACGTACTTATGACCTGAGATGGGAATGTATTAGAAATGAAGCATGGCCAAATCATCAACATTTTATTCATTAATAATTCAGCAATATACCTCCTATATTTAGAAATCAAGAGAAAATTTTCATGTCTTACTTTCACAAAGAAGGAAAGGTTTCTGCCAGAGGAATCTGAAAGCATAACTTCGCAAAGAGTTTACACTCTGTACATTTCACACTGCAGAAGCATAGACCACACCACACACTATTTGATAGGGCACACAAAGCAAAGCAAACTAAATAAGTTGTTTTAAACTATCAACCATGTCTCACATATGATCACAGCTAATCTCATGATGCCCATTGCATCTGATAATTCAATATCTGGAGACGGAGGTCAGAAATGGAGATCAGTTTGGACCTGAATTTGTCAGCTCCGTCACTGTTAGTTGCCACCACTTTGTCCAGGTGTCCAGTGTTCAAAGTTTCCACTACAACTGAACTGAGAATTGTATCTGGAACAGAGTACGAGATGGCAATAAGCGATTCACGTGCGACCTCCAAAGAAGCCTCCTTTTCCAGGGCACTGGGATCCATAAAAAGCAAATCTCCTGACAATGAAAGGTCCTCAGTAAAAAATGCCAAAAGTCAAAACCACAAGATTTCCAAATAGTTGTCAATTATCTTCTCCAACACCCCCTCCCCCCCCAAAAAAAAAAGAAAATGTACAAAAATAAATTCTAGGAAAATTGGCTAACATATGACAGACAGGCATCATTAGAGAAAATATGCTTAGATAACAAAAATAAGTACCAGAAAGCAAATTGATAAACAGGGAACTTATCATTTAGTACATAGTCATGCAGTCAGACATCCTTGAGACATGTATCTCAAGTTCAGAAAAACTAAACTCACATTTACTGCTCTAGTCAAGTCCCATCTGACAGGCAAATTAGAAAGCCAATACATATCGACAACAACTAATTTTCTCTTGCCAGAATTGACTTGATGTAATTACAGAGATGTAAGACTAACAAACAAGTGGGATCCAACATGAAAAAACTTTCCGCAAAAGTCACATAAGTAAAAATAGGAATAATAAAGCCAGCACATGCTAAAAGAAAAGGAAAGAAATGAAAATTATAACCAATCTCTACTCAGGCACATAAAGTTGTTCCAACTGAGATATGATTCTTGTACGAATCAACTCTCCACCTTTTACTCTCTTCAGCATCTATGATGCGCCCTTGACTTCATTTGAAGTGTCACATAAAAATCCAGTACCAAAAACAGAGCCGTTTCATGTCTGCAAATCATACAGCTAAGGAGAGACAAGTCCAAGTAACATAGGTATGATCAAACTGGGTACTGGACGCAATTAGCGCGTGGTAGAATGGCAGTATCCATTATGAAAGATAAATCAATCACCTCAATACATATATCTAACTGTGCTATCTCTACCAAATATTGGAAGCAATCAAAATTTTTTGCCTTATAGGATGATTTTCACAAATTGGAAAACAACATTCTCTACTCCTAAGAAACTTGGAACCGAACTTCAATTGAGCAAATCTTGCTACTAATATTTGTCAAAAGCAATTGATTATTGGGCTGATCATCATCATCGTATAAACTAAGTTTGCAAGTAAAAAGAGTTACAGGATCCAGAAGGTAAGGATAACGCATTAGCTACAGAAGATTTCAGCTCATCAGGACAAAGTCTGAAATCCTAAGTCAGAAGTATATGACTTCAACAGTATACTAGCAAGCAAAATTACATCCTTTTATCTCACAGAAAGAAGCCAAAGATA